TGTTTCCAAGTTCACTTGAAAAACACAAACAGCATAAGCAACGAGACATTGCAGAGTCAAAGAGAAATGTCAAGAAGTGTTCTGTGCGGTGTCCCACAGCCAGCTGCCAGCTGTGTCTTAGCCTCAGAGAGCGTGGGGAATGCACAGGGCGGCCGGCGCAGGGCGAGGGGTGGCACCACGGGCCCAGGCACACAGCCTCTCTGACGACACCACAGAACTGCATGATGAAGCAACCACAGGCTTCCTGCCACACAGAGCAGACTCAAACAAGTTAAAGAGGACAAAGGGTTCAATACACTGATACAGGTATATGCATAGTACATAATATATATACACATACGTATTTTTTAAGATTTACTTATTCTTACTGTAAAGGCAGATAAACAGAGAGAAGCAGAGAAAGAAAAAAAAAAAAAAAAACTTCTGTCCTTAAGTGGCTGCAACGGCCGGAGCTGAGCCGATCCCGAAGCCAGGAGCCAAGAGCTTTCTCTGGGTCTCCCATGAGGGTGCAGGGTCTCAAGGTTTTGGGCCATCCTCGACTGCAAACCAGCGCCCATATGGGATGCCAGCGAATGCAAGGTGAGGATTTAGCCAGTAGGCTCTCACTCCAGGAATATATATAGAAAGCCAAAAGTAAAGTAATAATAATGGTAAAACTATAAGGAATATACATTCTGGGCCGGCCATGTGGTGCAGTGGGTTAAGCCCTCATCTGCATGGCTGACATCTCCCACAGGGCACAGGTTGAACTCCTGGCCACTGCACTTGTGCCTAGCTCATGCTAACACAGCAGATGGAATATGGCCCAAGTGTTTAGGCTCCCGTGCCCACGTGGAAACCTGGATGAAACTCCTGGCTGTGGCCAGCACCAGTCCGGCTGTGGTGCTCATTTGGGGAGCGAAAAAGTGGACAGAAGAGTCTTCATAAGAAAAGAAAGAAGTATCTTCTATTCATGAATTGTGATCAGACTGTCAACATTGTACTCGCTAACTGAACATGAAACTCAGACTGAAGACTTGATTATGCGAATGAAAGGGGAAAATACTTGTAAGAACCTAAAACAAAACAAAACTAACAAACAACAAGCAGCCGAGGATGTCTGGAGAGAAACGATAAGGCTACAGAAAGATCTGCAGGCTGCCAGGAACAGGCAGGCCCCAGTGAACACGCGTGGGCAAGGCCGTCCCACACAGCACGCTCAACCTCACGACCAACCGCAGGAAAGCAGACTGGGCGGTGTGCCAGCCAGGGTGTGCCCCAGGACCGCTTCACGGGACCACAGGCTGTCACAGAGCATCTTCCTAGAAGCTGACTGGAAAATTCAGGTGTTTATCAAGGTCCTTGCCAATGGCTACTTCCTTAACACCAAGCTTAGAAAACACATGGGTGGGGGGAACCCTTCTGGAAGCATTAAGAAAAAGCAAATACCTCCAACTAACCTAGAACTTGAGTGAGTTGAGTGTGAAAAACAAGGGAAGGAGCTTATGAAGCATTCATGCAAACAACACTGAAATGACCAATTTGTATTTTTGGCACAAAGTCTACCACTTACCATGCTTCTGGTTGAATTGGGCCATGTTGGAATTCCTTAGACACACAAATCCTTTATGAACAATCATTGGAAAATACTGGACGCTCAGTTTCTAGAACAATCCGAACCATGGGAATGCAAGCCCCTAGTGTCCTCCCGTTAAGCAAGAAGCAGCTGTTACCCGCAGAGCAATCTGTCGGTGCAAAGGCTGGCACCGTGACGTCAACTCTCCCTGTCCTTACTGAAAGCTGCCTGGCACAGAAGCAGCAGCCTTGAGGTCAGAGCTGACAGGTGCACAGGGGGCTGGGGTCTGAGGGTCCCATGGCAAGCAGACATCAACCCGAGAGCCGAGGTTACCATGTGGTATATTCTCCTGTCAAATGGTCCCATGCTTCTGGCCATGTCTCACCTCCATCCTCCGACTCCTGCCCATGTCACAGCCCTGTCCCCACACCATAACCATGTCACAGCCCTGTCCCCACACCATAACCATGTCACAGCCCTGTCCCCACACCATAACCATGTCACAGCCCTGTCCCCACACCATAACCATGTCACAGCCCTGTCCCCACACCATAACCATGTCACAGCCCTGTCCCCACACCATAACCATGTCACACCCCCACTCACACACCCTGCCCATGTCACACCCCCCTCCCACACCCTACTCAGGTCATACTCCAACCTCCATGTCACATTCATGTCACACTCCTGCCTAAGAAGGAAAATCACCCAGGCTCCCTACATGGGATTAATGTGACTGAGCAGTGGCTATTAGCCACTGTGTAACCACAGAAAGGGATTCCCATGTTTGAAGCCCCCCACTCACCCAACAGCAAGGGTCTAAAAGAGAAGGGAACTGGGGGCACCTTCTGGAGAAACTTGCCATAGTCGCCAGGCTCTGCCGCTGGCATCAGACACCGTCTGTCCTGGGAGGACAGGAACCCCCAAGAACCCGAGTCCGCACAGCAGGGTGCTGAGCGCCTAGGCTCACACAGTCCACGCTGCCTCCCAAACACCACTGCTGCTGTGCCCAGCTGGGTGCCCGGCACCTGGATCCATTCACCACACTCTGCATGGGCGCCCTTGCATCCTGAAGCCTCGGACCCAGGCCAGCCACATTCCTTCTCCCCACGTATGTGCCGCCCTGCAGTGGCCCCAGTTGCCTGTCCAGCCCTGAGATGCCAGGGCCGGGTGTCAGGATTGAGGGCTGTGGCAAGCACACATGAGGCCCACAGCAAACACGTGTGTGTTTCAGAGGACCACGTTGCAGCGATAAAGACACGGCTTTTGTCAATGAGGAAATAAATTCTGCAAAAGGCCCAATGGATGCTGGTATTAGTAGACAAACAGGTAGATATCAGGAGGTGACGGATCGGTTAGGAGGGGCAGGGAGGGAACTGGGCAGTGCCCTCGGCACATGCACTCTACACTGTCAAACCCACAGGGCACACACCTGTAGCATGAACAGGTGCCAGACTCTGGCACCAACAGCCAAAATCTTGGCTTTCTACCGCCTGCAGACATTCTGGTGTCTCTCTTCCCACCCTCGGTTAGTCCCTGTCCCGGACAAGGTGGTCCCCCGGGCAGCGGGTCACGGGACAGCCCAGGGAGCCACCTCCCTCTTTCCAGAAGCAGCTGAGGCCTGCTTTAGCTGAAAGCCCATGATTCTGTTGGTAGGTCACCACTGTGTGTGTGTATCACTGTACCCCTGCCCGGCCCTCTGCTGTGCACACCGCACCCCTGCCCCGGCCCTCTACTGTGCACACCGCACACCGCACCCTTGCCCGGCCCTCTGCTGTGCACACCGCACACCGCCCCCCTGCCCGGCCCTCTGCTGTGCACATTGCACCTCTGACCGGCCCTCTGCTGTGCACAATGCACACCTGCCCCAGCCTTCTGCTGTGCACACCGCACCCCTGCCCCGGCCCTCTGCTGTGCACACCACACACCTGCCCCGGCCCTCTGCTGTGCACACCGCACACCTGCCCCGGCCCTCTGCTGTGCACACTGCACCTCTGCCCCGGCCCTCTGCTGTGCACACTGCACACCTGCCCCGGCCCTCTGCTGTGCACACCGCACACCTGCCCCGGCCCTCTGCTGTGCACACTGCACCTCTGACCGGCCCTCTGCTGTGCACACTGCACACCTGCCCCGGCCCTCTGCTGTGCACACCGCACACCTGCCCCGGCCCTCTGCTGTGCACACCGCACACCTGCCCCGGCCCTCTGCTGTGCACACCGCACACCTGCCCCGGCCCTCTGCTGTGCACACTGCACCTCTGACTGGCCCTCTGCTGTGCACACCGCACACCGCACCTCTGACCGGCCCTCTGCTGTGCACAACGCACCCCTGCCCCGGCCCTCTGCTGTGCACACCGCACACTGCACCTCTGCCCCAGCACACCTGCCCCAGCCCTCTGCTGTGCACACTGCACCCCTGCCCCGGCCCTCTGCTGTACACACCGCACCCCTGCCCTGGCCCTCTGCTGTGCACACTGCACTCCGCACACCGCACCTCTGCCTGGCTCTCTGCTGTGCGCACTGCACCTCTGCCCTCTGAACAGGCCAGCAGTGATCAGCCCTCTAACATGACAGAGCCCGGGCTGGGGCACCCCAAACTCTGCACTCACTTTTCATCAACCTGCTTTTCCCACCAAGGCCACAGAGCTGTGCAGGAGCCGTGAGCCCTCTGGGGAAGCACCTGACACTTGAGGGGTGCACCTGTGAGACGCGGAGATGGGTGGGAGACCTTCTACAGAGAGCTACTTCATGAAGACAGATGTGGCTGGGAGAGCAGAAAGGGGCTTGATGACAGAGCAGACCCCCATGTGTGGCCACTGGGGGACCCAGGTGGATCTGAACACCTGTTCTCAGACAAGCAATGAGGGGATGGCTAAGGCCACGGCACAGCCCTCAGCACGGAGCCTTCAACAGAAGCCAACCACGGCCGTTCATGGATCTCAACTGAACTGAATGGGGCGTTTCGAGAAAATGCTCACACCTTCTAAGCCTGAATGAAAGACAAACAACCCTTTAAAAGACAATAAAGGATGCTCAGTTTGCACTGAAGGGTGACAAATGATAGCGAATGCATAAACAGCTGGGACAATCTGATTTTCACCTAAGTGAAATATTTCCCTTTGGCTTGCCCCAAATAGCTTCTCCATTTTCACACACTTTGGATGCCAGAAATCAGCTCACCTTTGATGCCTTTAACCCGGAACTCGTGTGTTCCCAAAGATGCTCAAACACTCAAGCTGGTGTGTAGAAAACGCTCCTCTTAACCATGGAGCGAGGAAGGAACCCAGAGACTCAGCTCAGGCACGCCTCCCCTGCTCGCAGGCATTCACGGAGCCCAGAGGTGCGGAGGGACGCAGAACAGAACCAACAAGCAGCCCACTCAGCCCCGTCCTCCGTGCCTGCCGCTGGGGCGCTGGCCTCCGGCAGCGTGGCTACAGGCGGCTTACCTGAATTGGCCGAGATGTGCAAGCTGCTCACGTCCTTGGCCAGGCCGTTGGTCTTGGGACTGGAGAGGGGCACACAGGCCGACGTGGCCCGCGGTGGCCTCTTCCCGGGGACTTTCACAGTGGTTCTCAGAAGATCGATCTCCTTGCCGTGGACATTCTGCATGTAATCCTGCAGGAAACGTCAAGACCAGCGAGGAGGGGTCAGTCAGGAGACCTCGGGCCAGCCTACAGCCCACCCGCAAGGGGAAGCACTTCAAAGCTGGCGCCTCTGTCATTCTACCTGTGTCCTGGGCCGACTCAGGGGCAATGGGGAGAAGGGAGGCAGCTGTGCAATGTACACACGGAACTCTTGCCTGCTTACAGCTGGCACAGCAGGGGGCTGGGGTGAGCCTGCACACCCTTCGGGCAGAGGTCACCCTGCCATCAGCTCCCCGTCTCACCCTGCAACTGCTGTTAGACATCTACATAGGGCCGCGTTGCCTGCTGGGAACTCAGGAAGTGAAGGTCAGAGGTTTCATCAAGGTCCAGGAAGGTAAAGCTACTGAAAGTGCATAGCACCCCAGGGTGCCAACACTCCCAGCTAGCCCGAAGAAGAGCCACCAAAGAGAAAAGGGCGGCACAAATGCACCTGCCATCAGCCAGGGGGCCCTGAAGGGGAGGAGCCTGCCAGCCTGGGCTGCCCGTCAGGCCTGGAGTGCCCAGGTGTGTCTCGGGGAGGGACTCCGCCATCGCCTTTTGCCTAAGAGCAGCTGCAGAGAGGGACCCCTCATGGCCACAGGGCAGGCTGGCTGTGGTCTGCCACGGCTGCCTCTGAGAGAGTTGCTGTGGACTTTAGGAAGAGGAAGGCTGCATCCAGACTGGGACAGCAAACTCGACCTTATCTGACAGAAGGCTCCATTTTGGGGAGGATCTCTGTGTCTCTCCCTCTCTGACTTTCAAGTAAATAAATAAATCTTTCCAAGCTAAAGATGTTGGACGACCCAAAATGTCACCAGCTAAGATAAAAGGCTGTGCTTTTGAAAGGCGTGGAACCCAGATGGAGAGAAAGTTCTCATCCGTGGATGAGACGGAGGCAGGGGCACTCATCTGCCAGGACTCAGTGTGCTGAGCAGAACAAGGGGGACGCACGCTGGACAAGGGCACAAACTTGGGGTGCTGTGGGTGACATAAAGATGGCCTTTATAACGGGCCTCTGACCAACTGCCGGCCATGCGCAATGGAGCCTATGCAAGCTTCTTTCAGAACCCAAGTTAACACTTGCAAGGGAGGCCACTTCTCCTTGCACAGTTACTCCTTTAAAAATATCAACTTGCTAGAACTTTCTTTTTTAATACCAATTCTCGACAAATTAAAATACAATAACAGGAGTGTAATTGAGCATTTATTGCTTATGGGCTCTAGAATGAGGCTAATCAGAGAATGAGTAAGGCTCAGCGTGGGCTCTTCCACCAGGCACACAGTATCAGGATGTTTTATCTGGAGCGAGGACAGCAACGTCCCAAGGCCCCGGCCCCTGCAGCTCAGCCCCGTGTGGATCTGTCACTCACTACAACTTCAGAGAAAGCCATCAGAGAGAAAGGGGCACTGCCTGGCTTTCCGCCACTAAGAATCCTTAGGCCCTTCCAAGACGTGTGTGCTTCTCAGCCACAGCGCTCCCACCTGTGGGCTCTGCCAGAGGCGGGAAGGGAAAGCTCCTGCGGCTTCCAGAGGGGAGAACTTCCGCCTTTTCATCCCTGGCCACTAAACAAAGCTCCTCCCCTTAGGAGGAGGCCTTGAAAGACAGGCAGCAAGCCTGATTTTGATATGCAAATATCCCAGAGCCTACTCCTTCTCTGCACTGGTCCTAGAAAATGCTGATCTCAGATAAAAAGGGGGAAAATCCCTTTAACAAGGCATGAGGGTAATTCAAAGCCGAGCGCTTTTAAACAGCATTTAACAAGTCCCTGGGGCCTACTCCAGAGCCAAGCCCCCTAGAGGTGCCCAGCTCCTGCCCCTCAACAGCTTGAAAAAGTAGTAATTGCAAACCTATTTGCATTTTTCTTCTCAAGTTGTCCGTGTTCATCATGTGGATTCTTTTCTCCAGCAGGCGCCCGGGCGAAGGGCCCCGTGGGCGAGCGCCGGCAGCCCGGTAACCGCGCCGCGCTGTCCCCCACAACGCAGCTCCGGTACCTTTGCCAGACCTTGTTTTTCACATTTCGCTCCTAATTATGTTGCATCTATTGCCGTACACTTAATTAGCTGCATTAATGTGATTTCTTTTCACATAGTCAAGCAATTAAGAGCTATGATTGAGTTTCATTCAATTAGCCTCAACAAACATGCTAATTGATGTCCCAGATGCAAATGAGGTGCAATGAGAGAAAGCTGCTTGCAGTTGCGCGGGTGTCAGGCCCAGAGCTGCCCGGCTTGCTGACAGCACAGCTTCCCAGCTCCCACCTTCTCTGGGCTGCCTTGAGGGAGCAAGGAGGCCTCAGCCGAGTAATCAGCTGCACCAGAGCGCTCGCTCCCGCTGACGGGAGCTAACTGACCTGCTCCACAGCTTCCTGGTCCTACCATTTCACAGTTACAAGTTCCCTGGACTGGGAGGTCAGAGGCTGGGTGGTGGTCCTTGGCTCCAGCCAGGAGCGTGGTCCCGAGTACTGCCCCACCATCGACAAGTCCCAAACCGCGCTCTGCCATCCCCCTCCTTCCTGCGGCCCTTGGTAAATGGTGAGTTCATCTCCATCTGCTCCGGGGCGCGTGGCTCCCAGAGGGAGGCTCAGCAGACACACTCATCCATCACAAGTTCCTAAACACACCCAGCGAGCCCACTGATTCTTACAGCCGCATCTGCAGGTTAACTGGGGCTGTCTGGTGCCAGGCGGCTTGCGGATCCCTTCACAGGAATACCAAAAGCAGTGAGCAAGATCTTGAAGCTAAACTGGAACACATCAACCATGTGAGGGCACCTCGGACCACGTCAGTCCCAGCACATGCGCGCTGCCGACCTCCAGAACCAGAGATGGAGCTGGGACCCATGTCTACACAGCCCTTTAACAGGACCAAGGGACCTGATCTCCATGACCAAGGGACGGCAGGATGTCGCTGTTCTGTACGGGCTTGTCCAGCGAGTCCTGGATCCCAACAGAACACGCCTGCGGCTCCATTTACTATTTCCTGTCAAAGATCCCTGCCTGGCCGAAGTGGGCCAGCCATGCCTCCGACACTCTGGCACGGCCTTGTACAAAGCGAGTTCCTCGGCACTCTATCCTGGGACTCACCTGGTAAGACAGGCCTCACACGTGATCTGTCCATCTCCACGATGAACGCGGCTTTGATGGTGCCAGAGGCACCGTGTGCAAAATGCTGGCACCTGAGTGTGAGCTGGCGCTCGCTGGGCGCTCCACCACCGTCATTTCTAAGAAAACCGAATGTTCTTCATGAGACACACACACAGCTACTCCTGCCACAACCTCAGCCCCTAAGTTGACACCGCTGAGTGTCAGAATGCTGGCTGGGCACTGAGGTGGGGACACTGGCCGCGGCTGTCCGAGGGGCAAGGTGAACTAGCCGCTTGCTTGGCGGGCCCAGTTTTCCTTGAAAGAATGACGCTGTGCGGTGTAGACACACGATGGCACGCACTGGGCACTTGAAGAGAAACGGCCGAGTGCTGGCGTCTGATGATGAAATCTGAGTTTACTGTTGCAAATGAAACATTGACAAACGCGCGTGTCTCACCTTGACCTTGGCCCATCCCCAGTCCTTAGCAACAAGCCCTACAAGACTGGTGACATGAACGAGTGTCATTTCAGGACGCTGCCTGATGCTAAGTGCTTCCGTGACGCTGGCGATGCTGAGAAACCCGAGGACCAGAATTCTAGCCACCCGCCTACTGCTCACTGCCAGGCAACACTTGGGCTTGCGTCACTTCTGATGCGCTTGCGCAGCCGAGAAGCCTACAAGTCAGACATCGGGACAAAGCATTCCTGCAGGCAGACTCCTGGTGTGCCTCTTAGGTAAGACTGGGCACTCACTGTGTGCCCACACAGCCACAGCCCCGCGGCTCCCTGCCAGTTGGCACACCCCGCTAAATTTACCTGTTTGAAATCTGTCTGCTGTTCTGAGAAACCTGCCAACTTGCTCTTTTTAAAAGTTAACAGACTGACCAATCATGACTGTATAATTACATGAAGTTGGCCTGCAGTGTGTGAAAACCCTGTGAATGTGCCGCTCAGACGCCACTCCGGCGAGGGGCGTTGGTCCCAGCCGGCCGGTCAGCTGCCTGGTCTCAACCAAGCTGCCCTTGGCCTTTCATCGACTTCAGCTCCTGGGGATTTCTGGGAAGCTCAAAATCTGGGTACAATGATGGCACACGGATGTGTGGATGGCACGTGGAGACAGAACACGCATGACCCAGTCAGCCGGGTGTGGGACACAGAGGAGCATGTGGCCAGCCTTACAACTGTTCTCCACACGTCACTTCCTGCTCAGGGAGCCCTACACTTAACTTCTAACATGGCTAAACATAAACAGCCAAAATCGACATGAACTAGGCTTTTGGGGGGGTCCTGGGTGATTCTGAAGATGTAAGGTTGGGGGGTCACGGAGCGAACTCCACGTTTGGCTCCGTGCGCGGTTCTGCACATGGGGGGCGGGCTCGGCACGAGGGGGCACCTTGTGAACACACATCGGTTTGTTTTCTCCTCTTTATTCCCTTCCTAGACTCGTCATGTGCCCAGGGACAGAGGGGCCAGCACTTTCAGCAAGAAGGATCTTTTTAAAAAAGTTTCACTTCTGTGAGCCAAAGGCAGTGGGGGAGGAGAAAAATAAAAAAGTTTGTAGAAGAAGCCATTGTTGGATGTACCGCTATTCCCAAACTCTTTAATGTTATTTTCAAAGGACACTAACCTACACAGATACAAGAAGCCAGTCCAAAGGCGTCGGGGAGGTGCAGGCCTGACACTCATGCGTAAACAAGACAGGTGCGGAGGGAGTCACGCCTCTGAGACACACCGTGGAAACATCCAGAATCTACGAGACATCTTCTGGCTTCCGTCCTTTCAGGTCACTTAGCTGAGACGACGGCCTCGTCTCTCCAAAGGCGCCCAGGCTCAACAGCCAGGTGGGCGGGAGCTCCAAAGCGGAGCTTTCTCTGAAAACGATGCTGTTTCCCAAGGCAGCCACCGGAAA